ATTATAAAAAAATCTACTGCCAAGGAAAGAGAGCTGAAGCTTGTTAGTCACCAAGGGCAATATAGGTCCTACCCTTGGTTTTGGTGATAAAACCCTGTTGAAATTCTGTCATTGAAAAGTTCCATTTATGTAAAACCCTGGAGCAGGATAGGAATTACTTTCTTCTATTGAAATGCAAATTAAGAAAACACATTGAGATTTCCAGTCACATAATTTTGGCTTTGAGGTTAAATCAAGCAAATTAGTTATGCAGAGTCAAGCACTTAAGTAATGCACTTAAAGACAAGATTATGCAGTCAGCAATGGCACAGCTGATGGAAATCACTTCATAAGTCCACTGTACAATAAAGGCTGAAAGGAGAGATGCACAGTCTGAAGAACTTTGAATTTGCTTGTACTGCAGCAAGAAGGAGCCTTCTGAAAGGGGCCTCCTGAGGATTTATTTCCCAAGTATTTGGAAGTTGCTGACTGAGGTAAGAGCTGAATGAACAGATAATCACTCAGATAATCATCTGGCATTAGTTATTGAACTCTCACACATGTTCTGTTAAATAAGGCCCTACTTCTGCATGATGGGTGGTGGTTTGGTTGTTATGAAGTTATATGGAAACATATAATTGCTGGGAAAAGGGAGATTCACCTTATCTAACTCTATCTGACCAGTCTCAGGCTGGGACATGTGGTTCTCTGAAGATGACTAGGTCTTTGCTGGAAAGTGAAGGAAGGATGACTTCCTTGTGCACAGGCTTTCAGGCACCCCAGCTTGGGCAGATAACTCTCAGCTGCCACTTTCCTTCACTGTTCTACAGAAAATGTTCAAAACACCTCCTTACACATACCAGTTACCTCTGACTTTCTGGTAGAATTGAATCATCACAAACCAGATCACTAGTAAATGAAGTAGTCTCATCTAGCCCTTTGGGCAATGTCTGTCCAAAATCCACAGAAGAAAGCAGGCTTCTAGCACGTTTCCAAATATGCCTTAACTGGTAAAATACAACAAACTTGTACTGATGAAGAACTACTGTCTTCCCAAAGAACAGCAGTTTTCCAGGCACCAGACACTTTCACCAAATTTGTGATAGAGTTATTTAGGATTTAGGATTTTCAGTAGCTCAAAATACTGCTTTTAACTTATGTAAACTTAAAACAAGTGGCAAATGAAGTGACTATGCTCAAAATAGTCCTTAGTGACCATGTCAGAAGTGGTATTTTCTTATTTTGCTGAAAGAAATGTCTTTATACTAGTGTCACTATTTTTGGTCATATGTAAAGTGTCAGTGTGTTTTGATTTGATTATAGTAAAATATGCAAAAATTCTATATTTTTCATGTACCTGCTATTTAACTTCGTTTTCATGTCACCCATATGAACTTCTGTCGAGGCCATTTTTTTACTCTGTTGTGGACCTAAAGGAGATACCTTAGGATAGGGGGACATACGTGAGATAAATCTTCTTGAACATTGAGGGAAGCACCAAATAGGCGCAGCAGCCTTTGCAGTGAAAGGAGATGGTGATGGAAAACTCAGAGGGAACTTCTGGATCTGAGCTGGGCTGTGGAAGTGTAAACCCAGTTATTTGAACTGTAGTGTTATGTGGTAACATAACTAGAGAAATTATTGTCTTGTCAGTGCAATGCTCTTTGGTGGCTGTAAGAACAAGTCTTGGTTTTAACACTTCCTCACTTCCCACTGATTAGCTATGGAATGTTAATATTTCTACCAAAGCTTTCACATGTAATTTATATGCTGCTGAAAAGTACTTTGACACTGTAACTTTATGAGCAAGAATATATGATCATGCAACATAATATCTGAGGATATTTGTGAGGTGTTTTCCAGATAAGAAGCCCTCCTGTCTGTACAGAGCCAATTATTCTTTACTGCTGGCTGTTCGACAGGCGGAGTATCATGAAATTTAAGAACAAATAGACTTTTTAAAAACTGAGAAGAACCCAGAACCTCAAGATAACCTGCAACTGTATGCCTTCAGCTCATTATTTCAGCAGTAATATTTTGTTAAAGATTGGATGTGAACATATCCCATCTCTTATTGTAAATGCAGGAAAATTTATAAAATATCTGAAAAAATATGATTCTCAAGAGCAAACACACATGAGTATATAACACACGAATGGACAGTGAGTGAGTCCAGGTTAGCTTGCAAGTAAAAGCTTGTGAAAGGGGAGCAGGAAAATAAAAAAAAATTTAAAGAAGGAGCACAAAAAGTCCAAAAGACTGTGCAAAAAGCATTTTTTCTAGGAGCAGGAAAAAGAAAAGAAAGGACATTTGAACTGAGTACTGTCCAGGAAATGGTGCTTGAAACAGTCAACAAACCTTGAGTTTTCCTGAGCTTGGGAAACCAAAACTTTTGAAATTATTTGAAAATACTTTTACACAGTTGCATGGCAGCAACATCTGTACTTGTATATTCTATCTACCTGACACTGAATACTTTTTTTTGGCTAGTTGTCCTTGCCTGAAAACAGCTTGGGCAGTGGGAAATTGTCAGTTGAATTTACCAGAGAAAACTACTTCAAACAACATTTGAAAGACAAACCTTTACTGAGTGTGCAGAAATCTAAAGAAACATGTTATCACAGTTCATAACAAATGCTTTGAGAAGATGTCCGTAGTGATGAGCATTTCTAACAAAGAAAATATTATGATCTGCATTGTGGAAAAAATAGTCTGGCTATAATCATAAAAAGTGACTGTACAGCATGGAGAATATGTTTCCCTTACTGAATTTGGGAGTGTGCTTCATTTGTGAACCATATCAATCTCTGAAATGTGTCTTTGATCCTGCTTAGCACTTTTAGCAAACAAAATATTGATAAAATATTTTTGTCCAGCTTATAAAACAACTAGTAATATTTTAGAATTAGTGGTCTGAAAAATCAGTCTTAGCTTTGAGGCTTCTTCACTGGTGTGAAATATATGTAAACATCTGCACATCTCTTCTGAAGTTAAATACTTTCACCCTTCCCTTTCCTATTTGCCTTTCCCACTAGCTTGCTGAGCTAGTGTGTGATGGGTATTATCAAGAATTATGCATTTTGGTGCCTGTTTCCAGTCTGAGTGCAGCAGTCTGATTTCAGAGGGGTCACTCAAATGACCTCATAAGACCAAACAACTTTTCTCTTTTACAGCTGTAGGCACCTGATAAATTATTGGAGATAGCTGCACTTTACAGCATGTATCCCCTTACTGTGTAAATGTAAGAAACAGACATATTGTGAAATAACCTGGCTGAGTGAGACTTTATTAGAATATTTCTTATTATGGTGGTGCCCATCAAGATGGAGACTGAATACTGTGCAAACACATAAAACTGAATACTTTGAGTTTCTTGGACCAGCTGACTGTCATCATATCTGGAAAGATGAATTTTATACTTTTTTAAGGCTTGTTCCTAACACAAAGATCCTTAAAGCCAGAGGAATGACTCCTTTGTAAATTTTGTTGATTTTGATTCAAGTTTATAATGAAACTGTAGCTTTGCTGTGCATGCCCTGAGTATAGAACTGCACACATGAAGAATGTGAATGTCTTCAGTGAATGTCTTCTCCCAGCCACCTCCACACTGCTCCTCTCTGGCTTTCAGCACTGCAGAAAGTAGCTCACAGGGACTGGAAGGGACATATGTGGCAATTTAGGAACTTCCAAACAGTGACCTCTGTGGCACTCAAACCATCTCCTGCTTAGTTATTCTTGTCAGATACCTTGGCAGTCTGCTCATTCAGAGCCGTGCTCAGAGGCAAGGATTCCAATAACCCCATGAGATGCTATGTCATTATCACTGGAATCCAGAGGAGAATTCCTGGCATAAAGTGGACAAGCTAAATCTAAAAATGGCCCTGGAATTGTGCATGTAACTAGAAAGATCATTGATAGTTCAGCTAGAAAAATGTAATGTAATTCAATTTCCCCACAGCAATCTGTGAATATCTCATCTTTCCTTTATACTGTTGCCTAGCCATCTCTGGATCCTGGAGAGGAGTGAGAATGGACTGGGAAATTTTTCACATGTGGGAATATATGGCATATATTTCAATCCTGTGTTCATGTTTGTATGTTCATGCATCTCTTGCAGGTGTAAGGTTAGTAGTTGTCAGTTACTCACAGATGCATTCTTATCTTTTATCACTGTTCACATCATCTTGAAATTTAAAGCCTGGAAAGAATGCATTTTGGAACAGCAAGTACCTTCCAGCTCCAGGTGCAGAGCAGAGTGTCCAGGGATGCTCAAGGCTAAGTGCTTTTGAAACTGCAGTTTTGTTGCCTTGGAAAAAAAGAACTGGCCATTTTTTGAGGAAGCAGAGAAAAAGTTGCCTTTGGTTCTTACTCTGCTGAAAGATGTGCTGTGACTCTGGATATGTCACTGGGAATCTGTGTCCCATGTACAGGATGAGAAAGAGAAGGAAAGTCATGCAGTGGATTTGTATGGCTTCACTTGCTACTAGACCTGGATAATATTTAAAATTTTTCACAATTTAAAAAAAAATTTACAATTGACACTGCTCAAGGCTGTTTCCTCAGCTGGTCTGTAGTTCCAGAGTCTGCCAAAAATGCTGTAGGTGTGCTGAAGAATCAGACAGAGGAATTACACATTCATAACACTCAGATGATGTTAGAGGATTTATTTTTTCTGAGTAGTCAGCCAGTTTCCTTGCAATAATCTTGCATACCATCTTAGCCTTGAAGAAATGCTGTGGAATAAATGAAGTAAGAGCCATTGGGTATTTATCCCTTTATTTGTTCATTCTTTAAGGAAGACAGTAGTGATTTTTTTTGGTATTTTTTATTTCATTTTCCTGAAACAGAAACAACATTCATAGTGATTTTATCTGAGGGTGTTCTTTCCTATTCTTAGAGTCATTACACTGATATGTAGAGATAACAACTTACTGAAATGTTCTGACATTTACAATGGTCATTTGCATGAAGTTCTCTCTTTGAGTATCGTTCTGAATTTTGCTTTGCAGTCACGGTGACTTTGCAGGTCTCTTTTACATAATTTCTGTATTCCATTGCTCTAAAAATTTTGAACAGAAAGAGCTGGAATTGTAGCAGCTATCTATAGTTGAAACAACAGGGCTATTTAGAAATTATATATGTTAAAACTAGAGTTATATCTGTTGAAATCTGAAATATTCCGTGGTCCTTGTTCCATTCTCCCTTTAGAAAGAATATTGCTGAAACCCACAGTATTTCCATCAGAGTTCTGAAATACCTTGGGTTTGGAATTTCTACCCCCAAACCTACTCTCCTTAGAGAATATAGGTATGTGTTTGGAAAGGGTCTGTACTTGACCAGATCTACTTAGCATAGTACAGTAGTTTTTATTTATAAATATCATTCCTTTAGAAAGCTTTTTGTCTCAGGAGAACTGCACATTGTTCCATTAACAACCTTCTGCGCTTCTGATATATTTTTGTGGGAAAAAGAAAGAACATGGTTTAAGTTTTCTGGCTTACCTATGGTAAATTCCTGAAGATGATGGACCATTTTCTGCTGTAGAAGACAGCACTGACAACACTGCTAATCAAAAGTAGAATAGCATAGAAATTAGCACCAACCCAAATTGAGAAAAGGAAAGAGCATCAGTCTGTTAGCAATAATAAATGAAGGCTTGCATGTGGCCTACTCTGTCAGTTGTAGCATCATCTGGAATACTGCACATTCATCAGGTACTTTTTCATGACCTTGGCAGAAAAAGTAATAAATGGAAATGAGGAGTCTGTGTGCCTCTATTCAGTAATGATTTCATGTACCTACATGCAATTCTGATATGCTGATGGCTTGGATCCTGCAGCAGCCACAGCAGGTCAGAGCAAACCCTGCAATCTATTTTCTGAGCCTTATTGCTCATTTTTCAGACTGCTGGTAGCTCTTACTACAAGGAAAGGAAATTGCTGATGATCTATTTTTGGTATGATTAATTTTGGGACTTATTTCAGATTCCTTTTTGCAGGCCATAATTTGTCTGCTCTCAGTATGTCCTCAGGAATTCTTAAATTAAGGAGCCCAAAGTTGATATGAGCCTGTCTGCAATATTGTCAGATGTTACCTTTTTGCCCATTAATGTCTTTTGAAGCTCTTGATTTCTAGCCAAATATCTGACAGTAAAATCAGGATGATGCTTCTACCCCATTTTTGGAAATAAATTAATTAGACTCCCTTAGGGTCCTGAAAAAAAGCCTCTTATCTTATGTCAGTTTAATTTCTGCTGTACCCATTTGTGTTAGTGCTATGTGAAAGAATACTCTTATTCTATTGCTTGTTTAGTTTACCTTTTTCTTAATTTTTGGTTGCTCCTCACAGACTTAAGAATTTATCTTAAGACCAGTAATCTGGAAATTAGAAAACAAGATCTAAAAACCCATTTATCTTAATCTTGCATCTTGTCAAAGCACAAACCACAACTATTTCAGTGAGTTAAGCTTATGTCAGAGGCAATTTTAAGAGGAAAATTGTGCAAGAATCAAAAAGAATGGGAAGGAGAGAAGAAGCTTCTGAGTGTTAGCACTTGTTGTCATCTGCAAGGATGTGCAATTCAGCTTTCAGAAAAGTAATTTTTCTTTCTTTTATTTGTACAGCTCCTTTCAGTTTAGATAAAATGGTGATTTGCTGAAAATTGATACTGATAAAAGTATAATGATTTAAAAGGTCTATGAAAGGCAAGTTAATGAAACTGGGCTGTTTAGTTTCTTCATTCTGGTCACTCTGTACTCAAATGTAAAATGTTTATCTCTAGCTCTGCCTTATCTAGGAAATGTGTGCATTATTGCATTCAAAGATGGCTATTTGTCAATCAGATACACTCTTCATTATAGCTGCAGTTATTTATCATGCATATTACAATGATGAATAAAGGAACATACAGTTAAGGAATTAATAAAGGAACTCCAGTTACATAATGGAGTTACTGGTTATAGTGGAGTTCAGGAAAACTTATACCAAGAATCATGGGTAGTAAATCCTGAATCCTCTTGAGTTCAGCCTCAATTTTTACAAGGCAAGCCTAGTGCTGCACTCCTTCCAGAATTGTGGGAAGAGAAGAATTCAGTTTCATGAATTCTAGAATCTCAAGCAATAGTAGCCTTCTAGCCAGGACTATAATTATCTGGGAGAAATATCAAAGGTGTTTTTCACTTCCTACACTTACCTTCCAAGCAAATGACTACTTCCACTAAAAGCTTGTGGTAACACAAGAGCCCTGCTCAGCCCCTCTGAGAAGGGATTGAAACTTACACAGGGAAGAGGGAAAGGGCAAATTGTGTTTGCTACTCCTGACTCTGAGCAGGAATCCTGGGGGCACAGACTGAGCAGAGGACCCCTGGCAAGGGGAATGTGGTGGGTTCAGGAGTGGGTGAAAAGAAACTGAGATTCTCACAAAACTGTCTGCTTGTAGCAAAAGGAGAATAGGGAAGAGCAGGCAACGAGGAAGATCAGAGACAGGGAGCAGAACAGACCCAGTGTTTGACACTCAGAGCATCACCCTTTACACAGAGACAGTGGGGTGCTGCCAGGGAGCTCCTGCAGTGGGGGGCTGAAGGTGTGCACAGAGTGAAGGTGTGCACAGAGTGAAGGTGTGCACAGAGTGATGTACACACAGAGTGAAGGTGTGCCCAGAGTGAAGGTGTGCCCAGAGTGAAGGTGTGCACAGAGTGAAGGTTTGCACAGAGTGATGGATGTACACACAGAGTGATGTACACACAGAGTGAAGGTGTGCACAGAGTGAAGGTTTGCACAGAGTGATGGATGTACACACAGAGTGATGTATGCACAGAGTGAAGGTGTGCACAGAGTGATGTACACACAGAGTGAAGGTGTGCACAGAGTGATGTACACACAGAGTGAAGGTGTGCACAGAGTGAAGGTGTGCACAGAGTGAAGGTTTGCACAGAGCAGGCTCTTAGCAAGCCAAGAAGTGTGAATGCATTTTGCTTTATGTCAGCATGAAGGGAGGGCTGTAGCTGAGGTTGTGTTGCCATGGAAGCACAGAAAAAAACAGAGCAAAGCAGCTCTCCTGTGAGATTGGCTGTTCTTTATTTGAGGTGCTGGCCAGCTCTGTTGCACTCACACAGCAGTGCAGCTGCTAGCACTGCATTTCAGGAATACTCAGAACTCCATAAGGACCTCCTGGGTCCTTCTCAGTCCAGTTTACACTACTTGTAAGTGTGGGAGATGTTATGGTTTTGGATCTTATTATTTGACTAACATCTGGAAGTTAATTTATTGACTTACTGTGCCTATTTAAAGCAATTCTGGCAATTGAATGCACTTTGAGAACTCTTGAGAGTTTTCACTTTTGAAAAACCATATACAAAGCTCCTCACTGGAAGAAAGTCACATTTTGGCAGAGTTATCAATTGATTAATGGCTTTGTTTCATCATAGAAAATGGGGCCAGAGACCTGAGATATAAAGGAAGTCTTTTAATAGCAGAGCAAAATGAAAGCTGGGAATTGCTTCAACCCACTAGTGTGAGAACTGCAATTTGTTTTACAGTGCAATCAAACATAGCAAGTTCTATGCTTCTATTCCTTACTACATTTTCTTTTATTCACTTTCTTTTCAGTTACTTCAAGGCCCATTAGTTTATTTTCCTCTCAGATTAATTTGTTTTAGCTCTGTGTCCTTCTTAGCTAGACACAGGGTATTTTTAAACATCACTTTTGGTGACTCCTAATCTTTGCATTGCTGTGGATGAACCCATTTAAAGATGGACAAACAAAGCCCTACCACTAGAGGAATCCTCTAAACACATTTCCACTTGTGCTATTTCTTTCACTTTCATACATTTCTATGGCCCATTACTGCTCCTGACAAGTGAAATGCATCCACTACCACACCAAAAGGCTATGATATGCATATCTGTAGATTATTATTTTCTTTTCTTATATAAAAAAGGAAGTTACTGGAGTTACTGGTTATAGTGGAGTTCAGGAAAACTTACACCAAGAATCATGGGTGGTAAATCCTAAATCCTCTTGAGTTCAGCCTCAATTTTTACAAGGCAAGCCTAGTGCTGCCCTCCTTCCAGAATTGTGGGAAGAGAAGAATTCAGCTTTAGAGAAGATTTTGGGGATATCATGTGATTGCATGATGACGATGACCTCTCATGTGAGGCTGATGCCCTAAGCCCTCTTCTTTGAGGTGGCCACAAGACAGAGTCCCTGATTAGTGTGAGACATCTGGACAATTGATGCTTTCATGTTCTTTCCATTGCTTCTCTTAAAGATGCAAATTTTACTCAAATAAAAAAAGAAAAAAAGACCAAATGAAGATGAGGAAAGACCAAAGGAAAATGAGGAAGTTTCCAGGAGTGTTTGGGTGGTCTCAGTTTCCTTTCTGCTGCTGTTTTCACCAAAAGTTGCATGACTGTTGAAGTACCCATGAAACATTTTTAATTCATTACTAGTGTAGCAAAATACATTCCTCTCACTTTATGTGCTTTCACCCTACAGACTACCTGAATACCTTTTGGAATATGATATTCTTAATGAAAATATTTTCTTAAGAAAAATATCCTTAGCTTAAAATCTTTCCCATAATGTAATATTCTACGATTCAATTTTTGATGCATTGCATAACAGATTTATACAATTAAGTTTCCTATTAAACATGAAAAGCCAAAAAGCATTCCTTCCTCATCATATACTACTATCCTCCTTCATGTCTGTCTTCCTTGTTTGTGTAAGAAGCTGCCTTTTGGGATGTCAGGAGCATTTTTGAGTGTCAAGAGGAGTCTGGGACTCTTGTGCTGGAATTCTTTCTTTGAGAAGCACCATCAACATTCCTTGTGTTTCCTTGTAAAGGTCCAGCACTGCAGCTTCTGAAGGAGCTGCTTAGAATTTGTTTTAAATACTGCAAAATAACAGCATGGGGATACAATGGGAATGGGATTTGGACTAGCAGTATGATTACCTGTTCTAAAGCAGCTGTTATGGACTTTCTACAAATCACAACTGCTTCCAGATAGGGAAGTGTTTGTTCAATTACTATTACACACAGCTTTTTCTGCTTTGCTTTTGATGGCTTCTGCTATGGTCATCTGATAAAGCTTTTACATTTTAAATATGCTAAAGTTCATATCATGCTCTACGAGTTCTTGTATTATTTCTGGTTTTTGGCCTCAAGGATGAGAATTTTGGGGCAGACTAGGTTTTTTAATGTGAGGATGAAGCTTTCAGAGCTCCAAAACATGACAATTGTAAAGAGTAATTAATATTAAGTGTGATTTTTCTCCTAGTCGCCACAGTCAACATGACTTAAGCACACTAAAGCAGAGTTTTTAATAATTCAAATCACCAGATTAAAGCAGAGAATTTTTTTTTACAGCAAGCTAAAACATTCACCATAGATTAATCTACAGTACAGTTTTTTCTACAGTATCAGTTTTTTAATCTAATGTCTAAAAATTGCACTTTCACTTTCTGACACTGAAAATTTTTGCCTATGACTTGAACACGACATCAGTCTAGGTGAAAAATAGCTGCAGTATATGAGCTGAAATCGTGGGGGAAAATGGAATGATCCTGTTTTTATTTGCTTTTATTATCTTGTCCTCAAATATGAGAATTTTCCCTTATATATTCAATGTTATTTCACTTAATACATCACATCACTGTTTCCAGAGATAATAAATTTTTCATTGCTTTTTAGGGCTCTTCTCTAGGCACTTCATGAAAGTCAAAGATATGATCTTTGCACTGAAGAGTCTGAGGGAATGTGAGGGTTTGTGTTAACAGATAAGCTGTACTCTAAATCATCCTTGACAACATCAAACATCCAGGTGCAACATAATCTGATATGGCAAATTGAAATTGATGTAGGAATAGAAGTATCATATATTCAGGTTTTCCTAGTTTGCTTTTTTTTCCTTACCCAGAAACCTTTTGAAGCTTTTTTGGAAGTCTGCATGTGTGCTGTGAGTCCATTCATCCATTGACACAGAACTGCCTGGTCAGAGGGATCCTGAGGGATCATAGATTGCAAAGTCAGAGGTTTTAAAACTCTACCATTTTTATTGCAATGGTGCAACTATACAGGCAGAGGAAGCTGCAAGGGGCAGATGTAAGCTGAGAGCAAGTTAAGGTATGAATGGACAAGAGAGAAGGAAAGCACCAGCTGCTGTCTGTGTTCTTGACCCCACACAGCAAACACAGAGCTGCTTTTCCTTGCTGGCCATATTCATGCAGACCCTACTGATGGTATTTCACAGCTTACTCTTAGGCAGCTGCTGAGTGTCCAGGTGCCCTGTAAGAACCTCTCCCCAGCCATGGATGCTGCTTTGCAGAGTGTCACCAGC